ACATATATAATTTAAATAGGTACTTTAAAACTAAAATCCCAGTCATTAATATTATAAAACAATTATTATATTATTTCATTTTTAATATTATATTAATCAAATATTAAAAATATAATTTAAACAATCCATTTTTGATAACACAATGATAATATATTAAGAATATTATTTAAACAATCCATATTTATAACATAATAATAATATATTCAGAATATTATTTTATTATTTCGATTGTGATGTCATTTGTAATACATTCATAATATAATTTAAACAATTCGTTTTTAATAACATATTAATAATATAATCAGAATATTATTTCATTATTTCATTTATAATTTCATATTAATAATATATTCATAATATTATTTAATGAACGATTATTTCATGTCATATTAATAATATATTCATAATATTATTTAATGAACGATTATTTAATGTTACATTAATATTTTTCTTATAATATAATAATTTAAAATATAATAGTAATAATTTACGAAAATAGGCATAATAAATATTATCATTCCGAAAATGCTATCTGGGTAAGAACTCCCAAATATGCATGTTGGCTGAAAAGGAAAAATTTAAAATATGCAATTATCGATATTGAGACCAGATGGAACTCAATGTATAACATGCTCTATAGGTTATTAGAACTCAAAGAATTCTGTTTGTCACATGAGGAGACTAACCCAGACCTACATCTAAAAACTGTGAATGGGAGTCTATACAAAGTGTTGTTAGTTAATTATTTAATTATATTAATTTCTAAAATATTAATTATCTTCTTTTAAGGCGGTTGAAAGTAGGTCGTTTTTTCGTGCATTTATACCAATAAGCAAAAGAAAAATAAACACATTTCCAGAAGTCCAATTTTCATTTTGAAAATATGTAAGGATTTGTTTACTCCTTGTCTGTGTTATGTAGGAAATAAATTTTTTATTTAATGTTTTTTAGTAACAATAAAGTAAAAGTGAATTTTGGGAAAAAAAGAAAATTAATTTGGCACTATATTAATTAAACAATAGAAAAAATCGAAAATCCATTTCCTACATAACCTAGAAAACAGAATAATGAATTTAAATGTGTTTTCAAAATTAAAATCGGGCTTTTGGTACTGGGTTTATTTTTCTTCCGCTTTTTGGGACTTTCATAGCCGCATAGGAGTTGAAACATTTTCAATTGCAAAATATAGTGACCTGTGACTGCGCGTAGGTACGCTATACAGATTTCCGAGAATCTTAGCCGCGACTATTTGACGGGCGATAAGAAATCAATTACATAATATCATAATGATACACAGCTGCTAATAAAATATTATTCAGTATATTATGTCATTGTGATTCAGTCCGTGCACGTTTCTATTTGTACTCACTACCAATTTTATTTTTTTGTGGTAAAAATGAGTAATTGGCGTTTTGGTAATAAAAAACGAGCTAAATTATTCATAAGACGAAAAAAATTGAAACACAATTTGGCAAATTTACAAAAAAAAAAATAAAGAAATTCAAGAACTCGATAATGACGACAGCAATAACGTTTCAGAAGTAAACAATAATCAGGTAAGATGTTGTTCAATAATGTGATATTATAATTATTTTAAATCTCAGTGGTATTTTTACGTATACATATATATATATATTATATATCCTTTTTTTTTCATAGAGTATAAACACATCAAACCATAGTAATGAGACATATTATGATGTACACGACGATAACAGGTAATATTTTTGAAATTGAAACATAATTATATTATAATAACTGAACAATTATTCAACATTTAAATTTAAATTTCTAAAATATAAATAGAACATTTTTATAAATTCCTAACACAAAATAATTTTCAAATTTTCGTGATTTTGAAGACTTGTCAAAATTTTGGTGACACGTCAAAATACCTCCATTAAAAATATCTACGTCAAAATATCTCCGACAAAATATCTCCATTAAAAATATCTCCGTCAAAATTATCTCTAATACAAAATATCTCCGACTAATTTATTATTATTTTTTCACTTATCGTATTTATTTCACATAATCGTAAAAAAATTATTTTCAAAAAATATAAAAAATATAAAATAAAATAAATAAAATATCTATTATTTCCCTCAAAATCGTCAAAAAAAAAAAATAAATATATATATATATTTTAGAATTTAATGTTTTGAGCGATTCCTCTTAAATAAAGAAGAGCTGGAGTTTCATTGAAGTTTTTCACTACGTTAAATATCATTTCATCGTGGTTCTTATATTTTTTCTTTTTTTTTGGACTAGGCTCTCCAGAAATTAATTTTTCTAACCGAACCTGTAAAATATACATTTATTTTTTAATATAAGTTTTTCTATTCAATATTTTAAATTTGTATGATACAATACCTCTTGTAAAGCTTGTTCTTGTTTTAAAAACGTGATAAACTTCCAAATGGTAACGTGATTTGCTCCTAATGCTGAATTAAAGGCATGGTGCCAGCCTTCAACTGAGTTGTTTGTGCGAGGTTTATTTTTTAAAACTCTCTCATAGCAATTCCACATACTGATTTGAAATTTAGACGGGCGTCTACGATTACGTGTTGAGCGACCGATCCAAGTATCTTCGAAGTAGTCTACTAACGTCGATAAATTGTTTTCATTATTAACAAAATAAGCTGAATCAACTAAAAAAAGTATTTTTAATACAAAAATATTATTAAAACAAAATGTAACACATACCAGTTTCATCCATTGTTGACGTAAAGCATGAGCTGCATTTATATTTTTGATAATCGACACAACGCCAAATAAATTTATCACTACCCTTTTTATAATATGAATGCATATATCCGTCGTTTATTAAAAGTTGTTTGCCTTTTTGGCTTTTAACAAATTTTAAAGGCATATTTTGTGGTAGTACGTTAACACTCACGCGTAATAGTCGTAATAGTCGTAATACTAATGTCCCGCAGTGTCAGTGTGTGACACAGTTCCGGCTCTCTCGTCTAAATTGTTATCTGTATAGGTACAAATTTACCTATACATTTAAAATTACTAAATTTGTATTGGTAGGCGGACCATGATATAGGGAAGTACAAAGTTCAATCACAATCATCGTCAATAACTTTTTCTTTATCAGCTGATGGCTATAGCATAAATCGTTTTTATTTATGTTCGAGGGAATCGGGACTCGGGAGATATTTTGTATTGGAGATAATTTTGACGGAGATATTTTATACTGGAGATATTTTGACAGAGATTTTTTGACGGAGATATTTTTAATAGAGATATTTTGTCATATAACCAAAATTTTTGAATACTGTTATACAAAAATACTGTAGATTTACGCTCAACATTCTTTTAATTGACTTATGCTCGATTTTATTTATAATCATTGTAAGCAAAACTTATGGACAACATTGTATTAAATTTTGGACTGCTAAATATTTTGCAAATAGTCTTGGTTTTTGACGAATTTTGTTTACAGATATTTAAAAAAAATGTATGGACAACCTTGTACCATATTTTAAAATCTTAGGTATAAATACCTACAATTTTAGCATATTGTATAATATACTATTCTAATTTCTTTTCACTAGGTTCATTTGTGGCGGTAGACGTATTGTTAATATAAATTATTTATTTGATTCGATTCAGAAAATCAACCACCCACTTTTTGGATGCTCGTTTAAAGATCTTACTTTGATAAACGAAAAAAAAAATGGTTTTTATTCCGAATTTATTTTTAAGTGTACGATGTGCAACAAATTAGAAGTCATAACAACTGAATGTAATAATTCTTCGTCGGTGTGCATAAATACAGCAGTGGTTACAGCAGTTGTAAATACTGGACAAGGATTTTCCCAATTGGACACTTTTACAGCAGTTTTAAATATGCCGAATATGTCCAATCCAAGTTATCAAAAATATCACAATGACGTAAAAAAGCACACCGAAGATTTGGCTTTTGAAGCGATGATTGATGCTGGCAAAGAAGAAGCTGCGTTAGCTGTAATGGAAAATAATGTCAATGAAAAAGGAATTCCATTGATTACAGTGATAGCTGATGGCGCATGGTCAAAGAGATCTTATAAAAGTGGCTATAATGCTTTGTCTGGTGTTGTGAGTATTCTGTCAGATTTTTAAAAAAAATTATTTAGGTCATCTACAATTATTTATTTTGTTTGTACTAGACACTTGTTACGTTGATGTTTAATTTATTATTTAGGCGTCTATCATTGGGTATAAGACCAAAAAAGTTTTTTTTATGGGTGTACGTAATAAACACTGTTCAGTTTGCCAAAAAAATGAAAATAGTGAAAAAGAATTACCATCTCATCAGTGTTTTAAAAATTGGATAAGGACTTCTACTGCCATGGAATCCGATATAATTGTTGAGGGATTCTGTCAAAGTGTGACTATGCATAATTTAATATATGATAAATTAATTGGAGATGGAGATTCAAGTGTAATGAAGAAGTTAACACTTTCTAAACCTTACGCTGATTACGACATAGATGTAAAAAAAATAGAATGTATGAACTATATTTTAAGAAACTATTGTAATAGAATAGTAGACATGTCAGCTCGTCGTAAAAGTTCTTCTGGAACTGTAGTCCCAGGGTTTTTAAGGAAAACATTAAAAGATAGAAGGCTTAAATTAAGGTATATTAAGAATATATATAATTATGCATAAGTAGTAATAAAAAAAATTAATTGTATATTATTTTATTATTATATTTCATTTTAAGAAAATTAATATGTTAGGTATTTAATATTTTAGATGCGCGGTTACAAAGGCAATATTGCATAGAAAAGAAATGCCTTTGTTGCATAATGAAAAAGTGATTCTTCTAAAAAAAGATATTTTAAATAGTCCTTTTCATGTATTTGGTAGCCATTCTGAATGCTCAAAGTAAATTATTTTATAACCAACATTATCACTTATTATTCTATGGTTATTACAGTTGTTATTTTTATTTAGTTATTTTTGCACTGGTCCAAAAGACAACGAAATTGATTTAGTTCCTCAAATGGAATCTTGTGGCTTATGGGCAGATATATCAGGAGCAAAAAATATTGTTGCCCATCATGCTCAAAGCTTAATTTACAATGTTAATAATAATTCTGTAGAAGGGTTTAATAGCGTTGTAGCAAAATTTGTTGGTGGAAAAAGGGTGAATTTTTCTTTACGAGATAAAAGTTTAAATTTTGAGTAAAAGATATTTATACATATCTAAATAATATCACATGAAATTAATTTGTATTTTAGGATCATACAGTGCAAGATGTAATGCTGCAGTTTCATCATTTAATTTTGGTCCAAAATATTTAAATAATTTTCATAAAAAAGTTACAAATGTAAGTCCTGGAATATACACTAAAAAATTTATAAGCAAGATTGATAAAAACCATCATAGCAGAGTTGGTCGACGTTTAAATTTTGATAAATCCAGGTATAAATTATTTAATTTAACCAACTATATAAGTACCTAATAATATAGAAAGAGTGTAATAATAAATATAATACCCTATAATACATAACATAACACACTATAATTAACAGTAGGTACGCCAGTACGTCTAAAATACAATTTTAAAAATCTACTGTTATGTTATTTAATAATAGAAAATTAGAGAAAAAACAAAAATGTATTGCTGGACCAGATGAAGATTATGGAGCTGTAGACATTGGAATAGGTATAATTGATATGTCACCCGAAGAATTCGACGCCAAAAAAATTGCATTTTTAAAAAAAATTGATTTATCTGTTGATGAAATAATAAAAATAGAAAGAAATACCGTTGGACAACAAGAGAATGACGATTGGAAAAAATTTAGAAAACAACGACTTACGGCATCTAATTTTGGAAAAGTTTGTAAATTAAGACCCACCACTTCGCGAGCGAATACCATAAAATATATTTTATATGATATTTTCCAAGGAAGTTCTTCAACTAGGTTTGTGGTCTATTTATATTTTATCTATTTTACAATAGTAACTGTTTAGGTATATAATTATTTTTATAAAATGTTTTACTAAGGTATGGTATTGAAAACGAATCAATAGCCCGAAATGCGTTCCAAAAAACCATAAAGGAGAAAATCGAACCAGCGGGATTGTTTATTCATAAGAATAAACCCTATCTCGCAGCAAGTCCTGACGGGTTAATAGGTAAAGACTGTATCTTGGAGATAAAGTGTCCTCCGAGCATAAAAGAATATACTCCAGAAGAGGCAGTACATAAAAAAAAAATAAAGTACATGATAACCGATGGTGAAAAAATTACTTTAAAAAAAACTGATAATTATTATTATCAAGTTCAAGCACAACTCAACATTACAGAAAGGAACTATTGTTATTTTGTTGTGTGGACTCCAAAAGGTAATAGTATATGACAATTATTTTCGTAGAATCTAAAATATTATAATTTATACGATCGATTTTAAACGTGTTTATTTTAGGTTTTATAGTGAACAAGATATCCAAAGATGTCAAATTTTGGACATCAAAAATTGAACCATTTATCACAACATTTTACATGGAATCATTACTGCCTGAAATCATTGACCCAAGATTTGATAGAGGACTACCAATAAGGTCCGGTATACCGACAAATAAGCTCTAACTAAATAAAAGTGTATTTATGTAGCAATATAATATAATACAAGCAATTTTTTTTTTAAAGAAGGTACTTACTGTTGTCAATATATAATTTATAATGATTATGTTTTTGAATAAAATTATGAACTAGGTACATTATACTTTATGAAGTCCGATGTTGTATTTACCTACCTGTTTTGTCAATACAATGCGCGCTGTGATGGTAATAAAATTATTGTTGAACTGTTTACTGATAAAACGAAATAATTACGCGTTCGGGGAACTTACGTACACTAATGATCAGTTACTACACACACATTCACACAGCAATTCCCGATGACTATAACATATTGCCTATACTCAATCCCTTAAAAACGGTTCACTTTCAACCGCCTTAATCATCAATATACTTTTTTTGGGTGCCAAATTAATCTGTTTATAATATATATACATATATATATATATATATATATTTTTTTTTTTTGGTTTATAAATGTATTCTGTAATTACTTGCACTTGTTAATTTTTAAAAATGTTATTCAGGTAAATGCTTTACATCCAGTGAAAACTGCAACACTTGCATTGCAAAAACAAAACTTAACAATTGGTGATTTTTATGGCATCTGGTTAAAATCCACTCATGGGTTGAACGCAAATGGATCCATATTAGCCAAAAAAATAAAATCTTTGATGGATAAAAGAATTCAGGAAAATTATTTATCAAACAACACATTTTTAGCAGGTACCTAATACATCAAATTAATAATTAATAATTAAACATACATAATAACAATAGATTCATACATTGTTTTAGCGATTTTGTTGATCCTCGATACCAGTGTTTATTAACTCCTGAACAACAACAAATAGCTATAACTCGTCTTGTTGAAACATGGGAGACATTACTTCTCTTAAAGAATAGAGACTCTCCTATTGACGAATTTCCAGAAACTACCGGTAAAAAATGAATGCATATTAATTATTTACTCAATAAAAATGTTAAAATTGTTTAGTTGTTAAATGTTTTAAATATTTAAGAATTATAACAGACTAATACATTAAATTACTTCCTGGATAAATTATCAACAATTTTGTTTTAAATACATCACTGCAGGTGATATGAATATTATTCTCATATAAACTAAATATAAAATAATGGAAATTCTTAATAAATCATGTTGATATTTTATTTTATTGGAAATTTAAATAGGAATAAATAAATTTTTACTTAAAAAAAAATATGCTGATTTCTAGAATAATCTGTAAAATTTTATATAATACAGTTATTTGTTAAGTAAAGTAGTTGAGTTAATCCTGTATTGAACTTTATTTTCAGCTAATGATGAATCAACCATTGAGAGTACTATTGAAAGTAGCCAAGACTCTACAGATCAATTTGAAGATTTTTTATCATCACAATCTTCTCTTACATCAAATTCATCTGCCTCGTCCTTAACAGTAACTTCTGAAAGTATATTAAATATATTGAATGGTTTTAAAAATGTTGAGCGCATTTCTTATACTGCCGATATTTTCCAATATTGGAAAACACGACAATTAACAGATCCAGAACTTTATCAATTAGCAAGTGTAGTCTTAGCAGTTCCAGCGACTCAGGTTTACATGATTATTTATGTTTTACCTTATGATAATATTTATTTTGTGATTATATTTGAGCTTCTACAAGTTGTACTATTACATTTTCAGGTCAGTGTAGAAAGGAGCTTTTCTGGATTGAAATTTGTTGTTTCTGATTTAAGAACATCATTAGATCCAGAACTTTTAGAAGCAATCATGCTGGTTAGAAGCAATGAAAAATTTAAATTATGTCATTAAATGATTAAATTGTATTGTTATTTATGTTTAAGTGTTTTATTTAATAAACTTATAAAGAAAACAATTATTTTGTGTGGCCCTACACAATTTTATCCAATAGTAACTAATATAAAATGTTGTACAAGTTGCTAAAATTACTCTGATATTGGAATTTCTAGGAATTGGATATATATGATCAATAACTTCTAGATGGTAAAACAAATTTGTCAAAGTCTAATTTAGACTATTTAGTATAACATATGTATCTGCAATTCATTAATAAGAAATCAATTTAAAAAAATTAACTGTTTAAATTATAAGTTTAAAATCTAATATGAATACATTCATATATTTTTGAATTGTTTTAAGTAACATTTTAATTAATTATTATTATTTAAATTTTCACTAAAAACTCATAAAATAAACTTAATGGGTTGATACTGATATAATTATATAATAGACAATAGTGTATAATTCTAATAATTTGTTAAAACTTGCATAGGTATTTCCTAAAAAAATTTAATACTGAATTTAATAAAAAAAACTATTATTTGCTGTATTGATATAAAATTAAAGATTAAGAATTAAGATAACGTTCTGTACTAATATTTAGATACCCTAGTCCATAGATGGCATAGTAACCTAACCTAACCATACTATATTACTCATTGTAATAGTAGTCATTATTAAGTACCTACATACTTAATATTATTATTAGTAATGACTAACGAATATAGTATTTAGTCAAGGAGCTTTTATTGTTTAACAAATTTTATTCAAAAAGTAGGGAGTGAAATTGATTTCAATACCGAAATCAATATCAAATTTCTCAATACTGGTATACAAAATCGAAACCGAAACCGAAATTTCTTAATACCGGTATTGAAAATTGAAACCAAAATCGAATATTTTCAAAACCGATATTCAAAATTGAAACCAAAATCGAATATTTTCAAAACCGATATTCAAAATCGAAACCGAAACCGAATATTTTCAAAACCGGTATTCAAAATCAAAACCGAAACCGAAATTATTTCAATCGGTTTCAAGCCCTGGTTATTTGTCATTCACGCTTTGAGTACCAATCCTGGTATTCATTTAACTTATTTCTTAGGCATTGAATGCCAAAATTGGTACTCACTTTTAACATGTGTTAAACTATTGAAGACCGTATTTGGTACTCAATTTAGCCATTGAAATGAAAAGTACAGAAAAAATTCTATAAAATGATGTTAATAGCTAAGTTTAATTTAAATTTAATTGGATTTTACAATAATTTACATGAATGGGTCTTAAAAAAACATTCTAGACAAAAATATTTTAAACACTTGGTACATTTAGTCTGAACTCTACGTGTAATCTTTTGAGCATGTTGTCTTCCGCCTTGTTCAGCCATTTCTTTGTAACAGAATAACATTTTCCTCGTTGCGCATTGATAAGAATATGTTTCTCTTCACTTGGTTGAACTTCGATTTTTTTAATCAAACTATGAATTATACTTTCACGAAATTGAGTTACACTAATTTTTTTTGAAGTTACAGCAGTATACAAAGACATCGCATTTAATAAACATGTATTCAATAAGATTTCAAACGTGACTTTTCGATACCATTTCAATGACCTCCGAAGTGGTGAATGATATGAGCTTCTTAAATCACAAATATCAACATACCCTTTTGCTTTGTTATAATCAATCACCATTTGAGGTTTTACAACTTGTTTTCCTCGTTTATTATTCACTACTACCGTATTATTTTTATGTTTGGTTGATAGCATTAATACGTCCCGCTTATCTTTCCATTTAAGAACAACTATATTATTTTGACTTTGACTTGACATAATTTCTCCTTTTTTTAATTTTGCTTTTACAACCGATCCTGGATTAAATTTTCTATTTGAACGTAATGTCCCCACCAAATTCGTTGACCGATTAAGAAGTTGATTAGCAAGAGTTACTGACGTGTACCAGTTATCAGTATACATTGTTCTCCCTTTATCTAAATAGTCCTCGGCCAACTCCATTACTATTTTAGTGGAAACACCTACACCAGGTACTGACTCTTGGCCCGCATAAATTTTAAAGCCGATTGTATAGTCATCATTAATACACGATTTAAATACTTTTATTCCGTATCGATGTCGTTTATTTTTTATAAATTGACGAAATGATAATCGTCCAACGAAAGGAATTACAGATTCATCAATACACATATTTTCAGGAGGTACGTTCCACATTTTAAATTTCATCACCAATAAATCTACCAAATTACGAATTTTGAAAAGTCTATCACCTGGAGGGCATTCTGCATTGTTTGAACAGTGAAATGTTCTTAAAATAATTTCAAAGCGATTTCTGGTCATGTATTTTGGGATTTCAGAACGATATAAATAACTTTTACTCCAATATGATGCCAAACTCGGTTGCGGAGTTAACCCCATCCACATAACTATACCTAAAAATGTTTTCATTTCATCAATATTAACTTCTGTCCATTTCTGTCCATTTTTTCAATCTAGATTTAGGACGTAAAGGAAGTGAACACAAATTATTTCCGTATCTATTAGTTTCATTAACTAATATACTTAAAATTTCGTTATCCACGAGCAAGGAAAAAAAATCAAATGGCGTTCCATCAATTAAAGTATCAAATAAATCTGAATTTATTCCAAACGTTTCATTTTGTTCATTGAAAACTGGACAGCTAACATTTTCACTCACAGGACCCCAATTTGGTTCAGTTTGAGTTGGTGTTTGAATAATGGGTATAATAGAGGTATCATCGTCACTCGAATCAGAAACATCAACATACTCCAAATCACTATCATCCTACGCATACAATAAAAACAATTCTTAACACCTACCTACTATACAACAATAATTTATGGGGGATATAATTTCTAAAATATCTTACCGAAAGATTTATATTGAAATCAGGATCTGCATCTGAATCGTCAACAAATGAATTATCAGACACATCTTCATCAGAACTTAGAGCAGCCAAAATTTGATCACAATTCATGTTTTATTTCGTATTTTATGTACGAGTTTTTTTACAAACAAGACAAAATAAATTGATCAAAATCACACTAGGATGGCGATGATACTAAAGCCTTCACTGCTGTTGTCCCGACAATATTGTGATATAATGATATTTATCAGTTTACAGGGAAAACTTCATATTATAGTCTATTTTAAGTCGATATACGCACATGCACGTGGCCATAACGTAATCGAGAGTAGGAATTTATGATATAATAGGCATTGAATACCTAAAATGGTACTCACTCCGATTTTTATTTATAATCAGTAGTATAATAATAAATGATAACGACAAAAATATTATTAGATTTCTCTGAAAAATACCCAAGGCCCACATGATAAATCTGTAAAATTTGCCTTGGCGTAGTTATAAGTATTGTTGAATACCAATTATGGTACTCACGGCGCTAAGAACCATTATAATAAAAATGGCTCGGCAGTCAACTTGTTAAGTACAAAATACATTTCATAACGTTTATGATGAAATACTCAAAGTTTTTAGTGCATATTTTTGCATATTTGGACATTTTTTGGTTTAAGGGGCATATTTTTGATTATAAGAGCATATTTTAAGCTTTTAGTGCATATTTTGATGGTTTGTCGAAAATCAAGCGCTTTAATGAATATTTTTCATGAACTAAGGTCAACAATTGTTATAAACTCATAAAGACGATAAAGATAAACATTATCTTGAAAAAATAATAATGGTCAGTAGGGGCGCATGTAAACTCCACCGATTGCGACCTTTTTAGACTTTTTTTCATGTAAACTCCACCGGTACGTTTTTTTTAAAATTGTAATCCAAATCCAATCTGATTAATTAAGTTTACATAATTTATGTGGGTGCAGATTTATTATATTTTTATTAAATATATAATTATTAATAATAATTAACAATAATTAAAAAAAAAAAAAATCATAAAAATCAAATATCAATAATAGAAAATTGAAAAATATATAATTATTAATAATAATTAACAATAATTTAAAAAAAAAAAATCATAAAAATCTAATAAAAATGTATTATTTATATATATTATATTTAGATACTTATATCTTTTTTTACACAATATTAAAATAAATGATATAATAATAATTAATAGTGATCACTAGTTCGATGTTAAAATAATGTTAATTAAAATAAATGAATAAAAAATAATTAATCAAAGAAAATTTAGGTTTTAAAAAAATTTGTTTGGTTTTAAAATTAGGTTTTAAAATTTGGTTTGATAATGTTTAGATGCAGCTTTGACGAATTGTATACTGGTAATATTGTTTGCCTTAAATGACGAAAAAATACGTATCGGTGGAGTTTACATTTTTTTTTCAGGTAAAAAAAATGTATCGGTGGAATTTACATGTTATAAATCCAACCCTAAAATTAACTACCTGTAAATCGGTGGAGTTTACAATCGCCCGGTCAGTAGGTATTTATTATGTCTATTTTTGTATTTTTAACGAATAGTAGGTACGTGGTATAAACACGATAGTATCAAGTGTCTACAGTCAGTGGGTAGATTAGATTCGCATTAGTTCTAGAACATTCACCGCGTGTGTTAAAGTTTCGTGGTTAATTTTCATATAACGTTAGTGTGTTTAATTTTTGTCACTCTATCAATATGCCAAAAGAAAAATTGACAAAAGCTTATCGTTTGCGTAATTTTGTAATCGAGTTTGGTGAATCTGTATTTTCAACGGATAATCTTATTTTATTTTGTAAAATCTGTAACGTGAAAGTAGCAAGTGAAAAACGTTTTAGTATCATACAACATCTAAAAACTGACAAACACATCAGAAGTGCAGCACGTTTAGAAAACAATAAAATAAAATATTTGAGAATAATTCATCAATTATTTTAAAATACCTTTTTTGTTTTATTATGTGCAGAATAATAATTAAGAAGAATGGGATCCAACATTCAAAACAGATTCCAAATCAATTTAATAATATAAATCTAGTTAAAACTTATATAGAATAATAATAAAATTAATTTTTTTAAGGGCATATTTAACCGCATATTTTTAATTTTTTGATGCATAAGTGCATATTTTTAAATGCATATTTGATGATTTTTTAGTGCGTGAAAGTCCTTGCTCTAGTCATAACACTCATAACATTGATTATAAAATATAGTACAATGTTTTCATCAAAATATTCAAAAGTGTTTAAAATTATAAACATTTAATTAAATTTTTTTCATTATAAAAATACAAGATAGAAGTATAAATAAATAAAACAATCATCTTCCAACTGTATTTATTATTTCAAATCTGCTTATAATAATATCATTAATAAATAATTACATATTTTGTAAAACTCGAAGTTTGTCTGCATTTTGCATTGATTGTTTCCCACTGTTTATATTGAGCCACTTACATTCTTTGTATAATCTAGTTCTTAAAAGAAGTTCAATTACATATTGAAAGTGGTCTTTGCATGGAGATTGAAAAATAGAATATTTGTCCTTTATTTTACTTTCTGCTTTAGAAATTAATTGCGCTAATAATTTTTTATCACACTTCATTTCATCAAAATTATTTTTAAAAACTTTTAAACATATAGTAGATACATCTATCAATATATTTGTTGGTGTTTTCAATCCATACCCTTCGTCAATATAATCATAAGTTTTGTTCAGTAATAAAAGTTGATTTTTATCATTTATATTTCTTTCTTTTATTAAATTAAATTTGCACATTTCACAATTGAATTTTTGAAGGCATTTTTTTGCCAAGTAATCAGCAAAATATGTTATACACTTATACTACAAGTCTCCAACGATATTGGTATTGCCTCGCCAGTTGTGTTAGGGCTACCAGAAGTTTCTGAAATACTAGAATCTGATTCGAGCGTTTCATTCAAATATTCATCTACTGCAGGCTCCGGTACTACAGTTACGTTTTCGAATACATCTACGGTCATGTAATTGTCTTCATTAGCCTCACAGTCGCTACAACACGATGCACATTGCATTAAACTGTAAATGCATATATGATGAAAACAACAACAGAAAGTTCTCGCTGTGGGATTCCTGTTGTATCCATTTTTTTGTCTCATTACTGAAAAAAAATGTTCTAGTGCGTTTGTGTTAGACGATTTGTCATTAA